CCAGTCAGTCCCTGTTCATTGCACCTGAAAAATATCTATCCGCACCAGTGCCGGCCACCGTCCACGATCGGCGAACTACGCCTCAGCAACCTGGAACATGAGAAAAAGTTCAAAAAAGAAAGGGATAAGGGTCAGACCTCGAACTCGAAAAAAAATGTCAAATAAGGTCATATTTCGGATGCTCTGTCTGGCCGACGCCATTTGGGGCGGTTCCCGATGGAATTTTTTGATGAAATTTTTTGAGCATCTTCCTCATTAAGTCTAGTTTACCCATACCAAATTTCAGCTAAAAACTCAACCGGGAAGGTAGTCAAATGAATTTTTGAAGATAACTGTGAAGTTAAACAACGCCGTACATTTCGGAAAATTATTTGACTACCTTCCCGGTTGAATTTTTAGCTGAAATTTGGTATGGGTAAACTAGACTTAATGAGGAAGATGCTCAAAAACTTTCATCAAAAAATTCCATCGGGAACCGCCCCAAATGGCGTCGGCCAGACAGAGCATCCGAAATATGACCTTATTTGACATTTTTTTTCGAGTTCGAGGCCCTATCTGACCCTTATCCCAAGAAGATATAATTATCCCCCATATGACTAAAACACTTTCACTTTCCCAATCTAAGACCAAACTAGTTTTTTTCTCAAAATATTACCTTAATTTGTATTATTTAATTAAAATTCGTAATTAATAAATAATTAAATTATTTCTATGGACAAATATACCCTTTATGTTATATCTATAAAACCCTAAGCTCCTACCCTTTTTCTCCAACCCTAGCAACTAGACGCAAAAGATCTCTGGCTTCCTGCGCTCCCCGCACGCCTCGCTGCCGCCGGCTCACTGTCCGCCGCCGTCCAATAGCATGGCCGCCGCCGCCACCAGTCCATCTACTCGCAGGTTTCACGGCCACCGTCCACCGACCACCAGTCCATCTCTAGTTCCACCCTTGTTCGCCGCCGTCGCCGCCAACCGATCACGCCAGTACACCACCGCCATCACTACACCTGCGCGCCGCTGTCGTCCCGATCCATGGGCGCCGCCTCCATCCCAATTCATGGTCGTCAACATCGTTCCAAGCCCTGAGCGTCGCCGTCCTCGTCGCCGTCCAACCGCACGATTGCACTCGATCCAAATCACTGCCGCTCAGCTGCGCCCCTCTGCCGCTCCTACAACTCAAATTCTTCAGTCAAGGCGGCCAAGGTTGATGGCGAACCGAGGTTGAAGACGAACCTAGGTTGAAGACGATGAAATAAGTGTGCAATGAATAATTTATATTTAATGCCATGAACATCACAAGAAGCGCAATGAGTTATGACAAAACGTGCAATGATATGGCAAGAAGCGCAATAATGTAAAAAGTGTAATGACATGAAAAGAAGTGCATTAAAAATGACATGAAAAAATATCTATAAATTCATAGCATCATTTGTAATATTTAACCAAATGTAAGAACTAAAGTTATGAAATCTAAAAAACGCTAAATTCATTTTATGTAATGTTATGTCGTGCAGTGAATACCGCCATAAAGTGCAATAAATGTAGTGCAATAACGCCTTCATGAAGTGCAATATTTTTACCCGGACGAAATTAGTGTAAAATGCATATTTTTTAAAAAAAGGGTATTTTTGGCCTTCCACAATTTAATATAACGAAAAAATCTTTTTTTTTTCGATTTTTGGTCATATTTCGAGAAAAAAACATAACTAGTCACATTTCGAGAAACTCACTTTGTTTTAGTCATATCCCGGGAATTTTTCCTTCAAAAAACCAGCAACCAATAAATTTGGAATGGGGGCACATGCCCCCAATAAATTTGGACTTTAGCTTAAACATTTCATGATTTTTATTAATATTCCCAATAGAAAAACTAGTGTGCCCCCAATAGAAAATCCAGTGTGCCCCCAATAATTTTTTATTTCCTCACTTGCTTTCAAATTTATACTAGTTTTTTCACCCGTGCGTTGCACGGGTGTAAAATTATTTTGTGTGGTAGTAATTTAATTACATTTTGATATGAATGCATAAAATTTGCCTTTTGAATTATAAAGTTCTCATTTTAAGATAAAATGTAACATTACAAATCGGTAAAACCTCTTTAAATCACCTTTAATGTGAAAATTGAATGATTACCGCTATCGTCACATGGAAGAAATTTTTAGTCATCTTGTGTCTAGATACAATGACGTAATGCTACCCCATGACTAAAACCCATCGTCGTAAGAATATTTCCACATTTTAAAATGACTGACCCTGACTCTTATTGATCATCATCACATAGCTAACCATTAGGAGGAATTTCTTGCATTGGAACTTGGAAGGTGAGTCAATCTCACGTCAAAAGCAGTCAAGGAAAATCTGGGATGAAATGTTTTTTACCACTGTTGAACCTAACAACATTTGAGCCTCAATAATATGTTTGTCATGTCCAGGGCCGGCTCCAGCAGTTTGGAGGCCCAAGGCAAAAAACGTTTAGTACCACCTTCGTATCATAATATGTGACCGAGTATGTTTTTTCCATAATTTAAAATTAAGAGTTTTTAGGTACTATAGTTGACTACTACTGTTTTATTTTATTAAAAAGGCTTTTGGGATGATTTTTTTTTTCAAAAATAGAAGTTTGACACTTATTTTAATCAATCCAAAAAAGAAAGTGTGATACTTATTTTGATACATATCATATTAATGTGATTTATATAACACATACTCATAAAAATAAGATAAAATAGTAATTCAACATCAGCATTGTCATTGCCAACAATTTTCAGAAGAAAAAATTGTCTATACAATCGATCAATAGAGTCAGCAAGCAATTTAATAACCACGTCTCTTTTCAACTTATTGTTTCTCTTTATATATTAATGAGAAAAAATTTATTGTTTCTCTTTTCAACAATTTTCTTTATATATTCCTACATATTTAGCATATTTATAGATAATAATTAAAAAGGGAAAAAAAGATAATAATTAATAGAAAAACCATTAACAAAAAATAAAAAAATAACAATTCCAATTGCAATTATAAAATATTACTCTGTAGTAGCTAGCTAACTAACTAAACGCCCAATTTCAATTATTGTTTTAGTTATTAACCAAAAACTTTCAAAAAATGTTATCAGTTCAATAAAAAAGGAGCATATAATGATAAAAGATAATACTCCATATGCGGCTTGTGGACAGTAAGCCTCAAACGCAGGCCGCACTATCAATTCATTAAATAAGGTGAAAAAGTTTAGGTTTGGCCAAAAAGTTCTTCGTCAAACTCCAGAACCAATTCCGAACAACTAAATTTAAAACTTACTCCATAGCTTAATTAATTTTTGTTTTGAGGCCCCAATATAAAGTGAGGCCCTAGGCAAGTGCCTAGGTGAAATGGCCTTATGGCCGGCTCTGGTCATGTCACGCCACTAAAACCAAGTACTATTGCACAAGTTGGATGATTGACCTAAATTCCTCATAAGCACCATAAGTGCACCCTAGGGTTGCACATGGGGCGGGTTGAGTCGGGTTTGCTATATTTTTTAGGTCTCCCCAATTTATTCAGGTTGGCTATTTACCAACTCACGGTATGCAATATACTATCGTAAGTTGGTAAACCATACACGAACGGGTCGGGTTTTGAAAAAAAAAATACTTGGGTTGGATCTTTAGTATGGGCAACTAATGCATGCAATATTATTCTCGGTTAACTTGTTTTCAAAATACACAAACAAATACAAGTACTTTTTATAAGAGTAATCTTTGGGCAATGACATCAAAACATTCTTGCGTAAAGGAAATTATTTTAGAAGCAAACATATATACTACTTCCGTTCTTTTTTAAATGCAACATTAGATTTTTTTCCACTATTCACATGTTCTACCTTGACTCTATTTTATTTAATAATGTATTATAAATGAAATTAAAAAAAATATTATTAAATTCTTCACATTTCAAATTTTCAAAATCTAATTTTTTAATTTTTTTTACTAATGAGGAATGAAAGATAATAATTGTCAAACTTTTGTATTGACAAATGTGAAAAGTGGATTGTTTCATTTTAAAAAAATGAGGAAGTATATAATAATCTCCTAGTCAAAATGATAACTGTTAATAATGTCAATATCATAAAGTCTTAGACAGAATGCATCGGTCTTAAATAGAAATTATTCTAATACATTGTAGCATAATAATAGTAAATCGAACTTTCGGCCGGGTTAGCTACCATCGGATTTGAGATTATAATACTGCAACCCTACCCATTAGGTGCGGGTTCGTACATATTTAACCCATGAATTTTTTTTAAAATTAAATACCCGATTAAAAATGGCCAAGTAGGGTTGGATCGGACGGGTTATGCGGGTTCGGGTTATTCTTGTGCAGCCCTAGTGCACCCACTTTTAATTTGAACATCCGATTCAATTAAGGAGTTCTGGAGAGTGAATCTCCTGCAACAAACTACTAAGTAAGTTATACGTAGATTCAATATATATTACTCTGATTTATTTGAATTAGTTTAATTTGAATTCTAACATTAAATTGATTGGACTTAACACAATTGAGTTGTTTTAATTACTTTTATTGGATGTAGTATCTATCAAAAGTGCATTAAAACATTTAAGGGATAAGTGTTAGATATTCCTTGACAGCACAAATTTGAATCCAGCAACACAACTTAATATCAGTATCATACTATATTTGTTCACATGAAATGGTTTTCCAATAATATACCTCAGAAAGTCATGGTTATCTAATAATATAACTCAGAAAGTCAGGACACTGCACAATGTTTAGAATTATCATAAACATACTTATCTATTTCATAACTTCATCTTGTCATTTGATTTAGAAAAGAAAAACAAAAATATGTAAATCCAGGTGAAACTGTGAAAGGTTAAAAACAAAATATTGAGAATGAGATGTATCACAACTGAATGAAAATCTTTAACTTCATCTTAGAGACACAGTTGCTAGCTTAGATAGCATAAATTTTCTCATATTTATCGATCAAGTAATCGAGTTGCTCACTATTTGTCTAGACAACTGTTTCAATGCGTAATTGTCAAGTTTGGTTTAGTCATCCTCCTTTGTTTGTAATTTCGAACTTGAAGTTTGATATAATGAATATGTAGCTGTCTTTCTTTAAAAAAAAGAGAAATTACAAAGTCCGAGCTATCAATCTCATCTTCGGGCAGACGCTTACACAATGGATGTGGATGGAGTACTCCCAACACTCTCATTGTTCACATAGTAGGTGTCTGAAATTACATCACAATGACTAATTCATGTTTATCAACTTATATGCACTTATGTAAATCAGTGTTGCCATACCAATTAAGTTGGTCACGTAACTATATCTGATAAAAAAAACTTTACATTAATCTCCGATTTTGGTATTGTACATCATAAGAAGTAAAACTGAATGGATACACTCACATGAACTCTAAGTACATTGTAGGAAGCTCGCTCGCAGAATGTGCTTTGCGTGAAATTTAGGCCCATAGAGTTGGGTACGATGTTTGGACAATATAGCTACACTTTGAAAAACTAAGAAGCAACATCTATCAACTAAAACATCAAAAAAGTACTAAATCTTACCAAGTTCGATTCAACTGGAGTTGGGGGCTCAATAAGCAAGTCCAAATCGTAATCAGACTTATACCCCTCTTCATGCACGCAGCTTATGAATTTAAGTTTAGATTGCATGCCCAACTGGAGTTGACATGTGCTTCTACTCTTATAAACAAAACAAAAGGTAAAAAGGGAGTTAAATGGACAAAAAAATAATATGCCATATATCAGGTTTTCAATAACTTCACAATGAAATATATGCTGAAATTTTTTGGGTAATGGAAAGCTATTATAAAAGAAAGAGAAAATATGTTCCTGAAGCAGCAAACTGTTGGGTCACATGTACTCCAACAATTAATGGTTAACAACTCATTATAAAAAAAAAATGCTCTTTTAATAGACATACAAACACTCTTCTATTAACAAATTAGAAGGAAGCATATCATATTAAAGTCTCAGTTATAGATAATAGACTATTTCGAGGCAATTATGAATGTCATACTTATTACTCCGTGTGAAGTAAGAGCCTTCTCATAATGGAAATAGAGTTAAGCTAGAAGTAAACTAAAACGGTTTATAATATCCTATAATGTACATGTTAAGTCAAGATGTTTACTCCTAAAAGTGAAAATGCTTATTTCCAGAATTTAGAGACAACATACTTATTACATATAATAGTGAAAGTTCTTTTATAATGATGGTTTTAACATGAAGTGATCTACTGTTTCAAATTTAGAGACAATATACATATTACATATGGCAATGATCTAAAGTACTACCTCCATCCACTAAAAACTAAAAGTTCCACCAATACGGTTAAAAGGGATTTAATTCACAAGCCTTTCCATTCACAGTTGCACTTATATGGATTTTATATAATCTTAAGGCTAAGATGGGCAAATCCTTCAAAAAAAATCCTTACTTCAGATACATCTATAACTGGTGTAAGTAGTTCCTAAGGACATACTTAGAAGAGAAAATCACACTTTTAGTCCCTCAAATAGTCACTGTATTGAAATGCCATACCCGTGTTTCCAAGTTTGTAAATGTCATCCCTCAATTGTACAAATTGCTGTAAATGTGGTCCTTTGAGGGGTGAAATGTGTACAATGTGGGCGAGTACATTTCACCCTAAAAGGATCACATTTACACCAATTTGGACAATTGAGGGGTGACCTTTACCATCTTCGTAATAATGGTCTGACATTTCAATAGGTTGACTATTTTAGGGAGTAAAAGTGCTATTTTCCCTACTTATAATTTATAGAATCTAGGTGGCATCCTCGCATAAGTAGCTGATGTAGATAGAATTATTTCTTTTCTTACAAATAATCCCACACTATGTGTTATGTCTTATGTGTTTATCTAGCTCCCCATATTAGGATGCTAGAGACTCAAAGTGGAAAGGAAATATGCAGGTATAACACTGATCAAACTATGCAGTAATAAAAGAAATATACACAAATATCTTTCCTATGATGCAGAAATGAAAAAAGATCATCTTTTATATATTGCACATATTTAAAAAGGGGAGATTTAGATTAATATCACTGAAGAATTTAGGGATTCAAAATGAAAAAGTAAAGAGTAGGAGTTAGTAAACAAATTGAAAAAAGAATAAACTAAATTTAGCCTTATGATAAAGAACCATAGTACAATATTACATTTGAAAATTTTGATTTAGATTGGCTTACTAACCATGTATTCAGCAATAGGACGTTGTTGTAAATAGGACGTTGTTGTAAATAGGGCGTTGTTGTAGAAGGAAGTATTGAGTGGAGGAACGCATTTTGGTATGAATTCCAGGTGGAGGATTCGAGATGGCTTTAATTTGCAAAAGTGAGGAAGAAGCAAAATTGTAGGAGGTTGGATTAATTGAAATTGAAAATAGCAATACAAAGGTGGTTGTGGCACACAAGGATTGAAATTTCAATTAAACGATAAGTAAAGATTAAAGAAGATTGAATTTTGGAAAGAAGGTAAAGTGACACAAATGTCTTATATTGTTATCTGGTTTGTTTTGGTTCTTTGGATAAGAATTGATCAGTTAGTGTTAAAGCTATCAAGAATCTAATTCAATAATTGTTTTGTAAAACATTTGAGCAGATACTCCATCTTGTGAAAAACGCTGTCCATATTTTGAATAACACTATAGATACTACTTAGTAGTTTATTTTTCTGCATAATTCTTGTAAAAACGCTATCCTTGGTTACAAAAAAACAAAACCTTATAGGAGGTTAGATAAGTAAAAAAAACTACCTGATTTCCCTTGACATTATTGCACTACATTTATGAAGCAAGAAGTACTAATGTTTGTTTACGGTTACAAACAACTAAATTCATTTGAGAGACAAAAAAGGAAGAAGAGTTGCAGAAAAACTTGTCATAAACAATTTTTCTTCTTTAAGTAGGGTCAAATAGTCCAAATCATTCTGTTGGATTGCAAGACTCCTAGACGTAAAAGAAAGAAGAATTACAGGAAAATCCCTTTACCATATTATTATTAAAGTAAATTTAAGATATCATAAAAATATTGTCGTAGATGTTGAAGAAGAGATACAAATAATTCAACCTGCATATATGCATGAGTGGAAATGACATTTAACCTTAACTCTGATTTTGGTAAATTTGGAATGCCTTTGATGTTGAATAAGAGCCGCCACAGTCGGTAAGAAATGAAGTCGTTGGTGAATATGAAATAGCTTCAATTTTGAACCACCAGCTGCCTCCACTGGTAAGAAACAAAGTCGTCTAAAAGTATGAATGCCTTCGACCCTAGCAGCCATCTTTGGCAAAATGAAACCATTGTGTTGTGTTAATAGACTACGAAATCTATTTAGTTTAGTTGATAAATTCGCTTTACAACTGTAGAAAAACGCAATATAATTTAAGAAATCACTAAATCCCTTTTGGAGATGTATTACCTTCAATGGGCTTCTCCAGATTGTTCTATCTAAGCTTTCCAACCGCCCAAGTTTTGACAACTGAAAGAACAAAATTTTGAAACAAAACAAAATTTGGGAAGAAATTACAATGAATGTCGATTTGTTGGGTACCAATCTTGAATCTTGATTTGAATGAACTATTATTTTATAAATCAGCTTAAAATTAAAGAATCTATTATAATCAAAACGGAAATTGGCTAAATTGAGATAATCACCTTCAGATAACCTTGGCGTCGAACGTGTTGGTGGCGCCGGCGGATGTGGCGATGATGTTTCGGTCCGCCAACCACATGCTTCTCCTTCATCCCCTTGCAGCAAAATTCTATCGAGCCTTGATTAATCTGCCTAGGTTTCATTGTGATTTGTGGACAGCGGATATGCTACAACAGCACTCGAATTAGGAGCCTATGGTTGAAAGTGAACAGTTGAAGCAACATATCGGTGGAGAAAAGTTGCACTGGAGGAAGGAAAAAGATCGGATGCAGAAAGAAGACGGGAAGAAATGGGAAAGAGAAAATACGAAGGAAAGAGATCGGTAGATGTTTTTAACTGAATGGTGGAGATCATTTTTAGATGAAAAGTGATGAACGGTAGAGATGTATTTGTATTGCTATTAAGTATAGAAGATAGAAGATTATACGGAGCACGTAGTTTATATAGTATTATTATAGTGTGTGTATTTGTTTAATTATAGACTAGCATTATTTGACCTTGTAATTTAAGATTAGTAAAACTGTTTTGGTACTCTTTTTCTATTTAGGGAATAAAAACATGATACTCCTATTTTGGAATTTCAAAACATTTTTACTCCTATTTAGGGAATTCTCTCTTTGTATAATTGTATTCTTTCTTTCACCTATATCTAGCTAGTTTATTTAATCGTTTTACTTTTTTGGAAATCGATTCTCCATTTGATATTATTTGTCTCTCATCTAAGCAAATTTCGATTAGAACGTTATCAAGTGAGCATAGGAAAATATAGAGATAAATTAGTGAAAAGCGAAAATTTCTTTTAATATTTTATTCTAAATCTTTCCAGTTTATTCACTCCTTTTGTAGTTGTGTTTGAGAATATGTATAATTTGATTTTTGCTTAACATTAATTTGTTAAGGGAGATTTGCATTTTCAGTACCATAATTTTTAGTTGTGCTCGTTATTAGTCTCGTAACTTTACTCGAAAAAGTCCACGTTCTAGCAATAATATCCCAGAAAAGACATTACCCGGTTTCAAATTTCTATCGAAACTGTACTATTCGATGAAAAAATCCTTAATTTCCAAATAGTTATTAATTACATGACCAAATTTGTTAGCGAGTAAAGTTAAAGCACTAATAACGAGCATATATGAAAGTTATGTGATTAAATTTGCAAACCTCCCATTGTTTAAAATAGAGTCACATTGAAGTTATATAAGATGGATTTCGTTGTGCAATACATAACTTTTAATGTATAAGTGAATTCAAAAAGTAGTTTATCAAAATTAAAATATTAGTAGATGACTCTATTTTCACTATAGTAGTACTACCTCCGTCCCGGTGGACTTTCCCAAGTGCAAAGTAGGTGAGAAATAAGAATAGTAAAAACTGTGTGATTGAGGTTTTTGCAGTTGAGAGAGAAATGTGCAGAACTACATTTTTTTTGCGAGGAGAACCACAAATTAATTGATTTAATAAGAAAGTGGCAAAGTTTTTGGGACAACAAAAAAGAGAAATTAGCAAAGTCCAATGGGACGGAGGGAGTATATTTTATCATATTTATATCCACATGTATAAAAAGTGCCCCCAATAAAAGAATTTTCTGGATCCGCCCCTGACCAGCGTGCGATCTATACTCTGGCTAACAATTGGAAAACGGAACTACATGAGTTTCACAATCGTTGCGAGTTCTGCTCTCTGGTATTCCGGAAGCATGGCAATTTTAAAATTTAAATCTATCTTTTAAAATTTTAAAAGTGCTTTTACTTTTTCTATTACACAAAAAGCATTTATTTTACCAAACACTACCCACTTTTACTTTTCAAAATCACTTTTTTCTCAAACAATATCAACTTTTATTTAATCACTTCTCCTCATTTCATTAAAAAAGCACTTTTTTAAAAGCAGAAGTTGTTGCAAACAGACCCTAAATTAGACTTGATACTCAATTAAAATAATGTTTTGATTTTCAACTGAAAATGTCTTAGATGATCAAATAGCAAAATTTATAATTTTCATATTAATGCTCATTTTGTAATATATGTATGCTCAATTGGAAATAGCATATACTGCATACATCAAAAGTACCATATTACATTAGATTCGCATATTGAAATTCATAAGAGTTGATTATACATATAATTTAAAAAGAAAAAAAATTGCCGAGACTAAAACATAGATTAAACTCCAAAATAGGACTTCAAGTTTTTAATTCCCTAAATAGGAATCCAGATTACATTTTTGTCTTTCTTTACTTAAACCCCAATTTCTCGCCTCTGCAATTCATCGCTCTGCCTCCTTCATCAATGCTTTGCCCTGCCACTTCATCGCTGATTTCTCCAGATCGACTAACCCCAGCAGCTCCGCACATCCTTTCCTCCCATAGACTGCAGCTCCGCCATCGGCTATGACCTCGCACCACAGCTCCGTCGTTGATCACAGGTAATCTTCTTCTCCTTCTGCTCATTCTCCTTCTCCTTCTTCTCTTTCTAATCCTCTTCAAATTTCTGGTCCTTTGTTCTCTTCTTCTTTGAAGTTTTTGGATTTGAATTTTATTTGTTAATTTGAAATTTTTAGGTTTGAATTTAATTTATTCAGGAAAATGACACTTTTATAATCTGAAAATGTCAAAATTATTGTTTATTTGGAAAAAGTGGCACGTTTTGTGGCAGTACATTTGCCAGGATGACAATCTGAAAATGTCATTTTTGTTTTTTAAATGTCATGAAAATGACATTTTTCCTTTTTGGAAATGTCATTTTGTTCTTTGAAATAACTGTCACGTTTGTGGCAGTACATTTACCAGGATGACAATCTGAAAATGTCATTTTTTTTCTCTTTGGAAATGTCATTTTCTTCTTTGAAATTGTCACTTTAGCAAATGTAATGTCATAAAAGTGACATTACTACAAATTAGTGTTCAACTAAACATCAACTGTGGCATTTTTCAAATTGAAGTGATGAGAACAATAATATGAATCTTTTAAAATAAATTACTCAGGATTAATAACAATTTGGAAATCCAAAAGAAAAATAAAATAGAAGAGTTGTAGAAGAAGAAAACATTGGAGCTTGGAGAAGAAATTAACGTAGGAGCAGAAGAAAAATTAAAAGATGAAGAAGAAACTTACCTGGACATTGATCGCACCCAGCAAATCGATGCAGCAGGTATTAGGAAGGCTATTTTTGTCCAAATACAAATAATTAGTCCTATTAAGGGAACTTAAAACATTATGTCCTTTTTCGCAATTCTACTTTCTTTTAGTCCTATTTAGGGAATTCTCTCTTTAAAAAAATTGTAAAAGAAAAAATAATAAAAAGAAAGTGAATTAAAAGTTCAACATTAGACTCCTAATACTCCACATAATAGTCTGGTGCTCATTAAAAGTTCATTAACGCTCATTTAACAGAATTTGTGATTTTCATCTAAAAAGATATGTTTGATGCTCAATGCAAATGTTGTGATTTTCAAGTAACAAACTTTATGATTTTCATATGAATGCACATTTTGTAAGTTATGTATGTTCATTTGATACTGATGTTATGCTCATTTTTAAAATGTCATATCAAGACATATTTTAAAAGTACCATATTACATTAGATTCGCATATGAAATTCATAAGAGTTGATTATAAATATAATTTAATAAGTTTTTATAAAGGAAAAATAAGGAAAAGAAGGTGAATTTAAAAATGTGAAGCAGAGATCGTGATACTCATTATTTGGCTTATAATACTCAATAAAATAGGGCATATGCTCATTATAAATACATAATTGCTCATTTAGCGGAAGCCGTGATTTTTTTTTTAAAATTACAAAAATGCCACCAACAAAAATTGGCATGTATTAGTTGTTGGGTTGTCTTCCTTGGGCCGGGTGTATGGATGTGTGATATAGGCTCTCAAATATTTTCAGCATGGGGCTAAGGATGTTTTTACTTGGACTGTAATTTGCTGGTCTGGTCTGGTCTGGTCTGGTCTGGTCTGATCTGGTCTGGTCTGATCTGGTCTGGTCTGGTCTGAACTGGTCTGGTCTGGTCTGGTAAGGTCTGGTTTCTTTGTATTTTTATAACTATCCAAGTCTGGTCTGGTCTGGTAAGGTCTGGTTTCTTTGTATTTTTATAACTATGCAAGTCTGGTCTGGTCTGGTCTGGTCTGAACTGGTCTGGTCTGATCTGGACTGGTCTGGTCTGGTCTGGGGCAAATTACAGTCCAAGTAAAAACATCCTAACTAGCATTCATTATCTAAGACGTTTCATAAACAATGATCGAATTTAAAAAAAAACAGTGTAAAACCAATTATAATAACAGTAATGTTTATGGAACAAAAAAATATACGATAGTATTAAGATATCTTAATAATATAATACGTAGTAATAATAAAAACTTATAAGCACCAATAGTGGTTGGGATATTTTAGGAATAATAAAAATGTTGGTGCAACATTAAAACAAGATGTACTTGTACAATTTGTTTTAATCATTATATCCAGGGATGGATTTAGGGGGGGGGGGGGGGGGCGACTGCCCCCCTTGGACATTCAATTTTTTTTACCATATATGTAAAATTTTCATAATTTAATTAGATTCGCCCCCCTTAGCTTTTAATTTTCAAAATTAATATATATAGTCTTACATAATGTAATACTTAATTGGAGATTTAAAAGAAGAAACACCTAAAATAATTTACATAACTTAAACAAATAAACAATAGAGTAACTCGTTATTTAAGATTTAGGATACTTATTATATAAGAATTCCTAGTTTTGTAATGTTTAATTATCTTTATTAGATAACAAGTATTGGATTTCGTAAAACATATATCAAACAATATTAAATACCAGACACACTAATTACACAATTTTTAGATCACGTGAAATGAATCCAAAATATAAATATTTATAGACATTAGATTACATAATTCATTTACTTCTTGCTTTCTAAAAATAATTTATTGCATGGATAATAAACTCTAAATTATTATAGAATTAATAAAAATATTAAAATATAATATGCGCCATATATATATGTGTGTGTGTGTGTGGTGCATATTATTCTAAAAATAACAATCTCATACATATTAGTATACTACTACTGTAATATTAAGAAAACTTCTCATGAGTCATGACTCACGAACACCCTCCTTGGTGGACAAAAATTACAATTCAATAACCAATCATTATATCCCTCATCATTATCCATATCTATGCCTTTTAACTCCGTTAGAATCAAACTATTGAGTTTCCAGGCAATTAAAATTCTAAGTGGCATTCGTTTTATTATTATTGTATGTACTCAATTGCTTTGATTATCATTTAATGATTTCATTTAATTTTG